CGTCGATTGCCTTGAGCAGGCCCCAGTAATGTCTCTTTCATCCTAGCCCTGAGATTATATTCAAGGCTCTTTAGGAGAATGAGACCCATCATTGTTACTGGTATTTGGCATATTTGGTACGCCACGGGGAGTTTGTCAGACTCTGCCCTGTGGGCAGGCTACATTCGATAGCCTGCCAGTTTGCCCAAAGTAGGAATGAGATAATAAGATGTCATAATAAGATGTCCGCGCGGTTTCGGGAGCTGGTTTTTATAGTCTCTGAGTCTTGGCCGTTGATGGGATTACACGGTGCCAGGGGGCCAGGTGGTGGGTGTGACCCCCGCCTACTGGAATTTGGAGGGTCTGGATGGAGGATGCTCGGCCCCAATCCGAGTAGGCTTGGAGATCTCGGCCCCGGAACCCGCGTGGCTTTGTCCCTCTGCCAGTACCTTCATGTGTGCGGAGAGTGGTCTCAGCATGGTGGTGGCTGGTCCTGGAGGTCTTCGGCTGCCGGAGCAAGGTCGGGGCAGGGAGGAAAGCTCAACCCGCTCCCCTCCAAGGGGCCCCAGCGAGGACAGCCAGGTGCGGGGGCAGGAGACTGCACTGTTCTCGTCCGGGAGCTGGATTTTATAGCTTTTTATAGTTTATATATATATAAATATATATAATTTTTATATAAAAACCAGCTCCTGGAGCGGGTTGAGCTTTCCTCCCTGCCCCGACCAGGGCTCTGGCAGCCAAAGACCTCCAGGACCAGCCACCACCATGCTGAGACCACTCTCCGCACACATGAAGGTACTGGCAGAGGGACAAAGCCACGCGGGTTCCGGGGCCGAGATCTCCAAGCCTACTCGGATTGGGGCCGAGCATCCTCCATCCAGACCCTCCAAATTCCAGTAGGCGGGGGTCACACCCACCGAGCATACTTGAGTAGTATGCTCTTGTATTCTATAGTATTCCAAAAAGAAATACATCTTCTTTTTGTTTGAGTTTTTTTGGGGGGATGGGGCTATACTTGGTGTGCTCGGGGGCTCCTCCTCACTCTGTGCTTGGGGAGTTCCTTGAAGCGGTGTTCAGGTATCATGCAGAGCTGGGGATGAAACTCAGGTTTTCCAGATGCAAGGCATGCTCTTAGCTCTTTGAACTATCTTGCTGACCTTGAACTTCTCCATCCACTGATCTGTCATTGGACACTGGGTTGTTTCCACAGCTTGGCTATTGTAAGTAGGGCTACAACGAACATCCCTGTCTATCTGTTTATTCAAGTGAATGTTTTGGGCTTCTTGGAACAAATTCCAAGGGGTGGAATTAAAGGCTGAAGAGACAGCGCAGTGGTTAGGGCATTTGCTTTGCACATGACTGGCCTGGATTTGATTCCTGATATCCCATATTGTCCCCTGAGCCCTGCCAGGAATGATACCTGAGCAACAGAGCCAGGAGTAAACTCTGTGGCAGCAAAACAAAACAGAAAACAAAGACAAAGAAATGAAAGAAGTGGAATCACTGAGTCATATGGTAACTTTTAAAAACCTTTTAGGGGTCTCTATGCTGTTGAATGACATTCTTGTTGGCATGCATGACATCTAAACTTCTCCAACTGCTTTCCATATTTCCCCATCATAAGACTCTCACAATAGTGTTTCTTGTGGTTTCTCAAATAACACATTCTGTCACATCACCCATTTTTTTTGTTTTTAATTTGTTTTTGTTTTAGGGACACACCCAGCAATACTCAGGGTTTACTCCTGTCTCTGCACTCAGGAATTTCTCCTGGTGGTGCTTGGGGACCATATAGGATGCCTGGGATCTAGCCCAGGTCGGCTGTGTGCAAGGCCAAGTGTCCTACCCGCTAGTCTATCACTCTGACCCCTTATCACCCCGTGATGATCTAAACCATTCCCTGTATCCTCAATGTATTTCCCCCCCTTTGCCAGCCAAGTAAAATGTTAACACTTCCTAATTATTATGCAAGGAAGTGTTAAGAATTAAGAATTAAGTATTTTGAGGTTGGAGTGATAGTATAGCTGGTAGGGCTTATATGCTGCCTACCCGGGTACAATTCCAGGCATCCCATATGGTCCCCTGAGCACCGGCAGGAGTAATTCCTGAGTGCAGAGCCAGGAGTAACCCCTTAGCATTGCCGGGTGTGACCCCCTCCTCCAAAAAAAAAAGAACAAGGCAGATAAATCATTGGTTATAATATCTGTCAGTCTGCAAAAGTGACAAAATACTAAAGGTGACAGGTGAAAAGCTATTATTCCCTTTCGAATTTGCATGTACACATTTTCATGTAGGAGCCCTGGGTCTGATCTTTGACGTAATACAATCTCCTGAGCATGAAGAACAAGGCTAAAGTGTCTCTTGGCATTGTCAGGGATGGCCCCAAAACCAGAAGAAAAAATTCTCTGGGACCAGAGAGGTAGTACAACACCTAAGGCCCTTGCCTTGCACACAGCCAACCCAGTTCGATCCCTGACATCACACATGATCCCCTGAGCCCTGCCGAGAGTGCAGAGCCAGCAGTTCAGCCCTGAGCACCATTAGGGGTGGCCCCCAACAAGATAAAACAAAAAAGAAAGAAGTAGAATCACTGAGTCATAGGGTAACTTTATTTTAAAAACATTTTGGAGATCTCCATACTGTTGATTCTTATTATATTATACATGACATCTCAACTCTCCAACTGCTTTTGTTCCCCTGAGCACCAAAAAAGTGATACCTGACAAGGAGTATACCCTGAGCACCACTGAGTGTAGTCCCCAAACCAATATACAAATATATTGAGCAGGGAAAAAAAAATCAGAGATGTGTCTAAGTGGCAGTGTGAATAATGGGCAATGGTTGCTTTAGCAAGCAGAGTGGAATCAAAGAATTCCCAAGAAAATACCACGAAAACATGACTGGAACTTTCATTACTGTGAAAATGCAAAGTATTGACAAAGAAGCACTTTTTTTTAATAGATTTTATTTGGAGGATTTTTAGGTGTGGAGGGAGAGAGAGAGAGTAATGTACTCAAGAGAGAACACGGGCTTCTCCAAGGGCAGAGAGAGCCCCTATGCACATCCTAGCATTAGACACTAAAGCACAAAAGTACGTATCTCAAGAGGGGAGATGCGCGCGACACATGTGCTCAGCCCACATGTGCTCGGTCACGTGTGCGCAAGCAGCACATGAGCTCAGGCAGCACATGCGCAAAGAAGCACTTTTCTGAAGAAAACATCCTCCCTAGGTCTTTGCTTCCAGATTTAACTGGAAGAGAGGGGCGGGCTGTATAGCTAAGTGGAACTGTTTGCTTCTCAAGCTTGAGGACCCAAGTTCAATTCAGGATCTTCTAAAATGGGCAGCCTGACCCCTTTTGGAGAGATCAAGCCATTGCATTCCTAAAGTGTAGGCCTAATAGAAATATTTTGCTGTGGCACACCCAGCAGTGCTATACAGTGCTTAGGGGTAATTCCTGGAAGTGCTCAGGGGACCGTAAGCAATGCTGGGGATTGAACCAGCATCGTCCAGATGTCTTAGCCCCAATAGTTCTTCTTCACATTATTTAATTTTTTTTTTTTAGTGTTTGGGCCACATCCTGTGGTGCTCAGAGATTATTCCTGAGTCTGCACTCATGAATCACTCTCGGCAGTGCTCGGAGGACCAATACAGGATGCTGGAAATCGAATCTGTGCTGGCCGCGTGCAAGGCAAATGCCCCATCCGTTGTGCTGTTGTGCTATCGCTCAAACCCCAAAATATTTCATTCTTAACACTTCCTTGCCCAACTGTCCTTTAATAGGGGCTAATAGAATATCAGCACCAGAAGGAAGTGTGCTGATTTGTGGAGAAGGCATTAGCTAAAGTTTGGGCAGGCTGGGTTCCTTCAACCGGCTTGTTTTTGCTAGATTTGATTATTAAAAAAAAAAAAAACCCAAAACTGGAGGGATTGCATGGCGTTTGCCTTGCACGCGGCCGACCGGGATGATTCCCAGCATCCCATATGGTCCCCCGAGCACCCACCCCAGGAATAATTCCTGAGTGCATGAGCCAGGAGTAATCCCTGACCATCGCTGGGTATGGCCCCAAAAGAAAAAAACAGAAATACTCTCCACCCCACTCAAAACTTAACCAACTAGTTTTGCTTTCAAACCATAGCACTGTATGTAGCACTGTCCTCCCGTTGTTCATTGATTTGCCCGAGCGGGCCAGTAACGGCTCCATTGTGAGACTTGTTATGACGGTGCTTGGCATATCGAATACATCATGGGGAGCTTGCCAGGCTTTGCCGTGTGGCCGAGATACTCTCGGTAGCTTGAGGAATCGAACCCAGGATGGTCGGACCGGCCGTGTGCAAGGCAAACGCCCTACCCGCTGTGCTATCCAGCCCTTTCAAACCATACTCAGGAAAATATAAATAAAGCGTTATAATTCGTATTGCCTCCGGAATAAGAATTCTGTCCACGAATAAGCCGTAACTGAAAACTTCCACCATCTGGAAGGGCTGAATCCAATATTTTAAAAAGATTCATCATCACTGAATGATTTGGCATAAAACCTACTACTTTTAGCCATCGTGCAAGCCCGGTTGTCAGGAAGACAGTCCAAACGGATGGCGCACTCGCTTTGCATTATGGAAACGCACAGGGTTCAAGGCCCGACACCGCACGGCCTCCAGAGTACCGGCAGGAACTGATGACCCCCCCTCCAAAAAAAAAATTACAAAAGAAAAAAAAAAGAAAGCTTCGTGGCTGGAAGGCACAAGCGGGGAGGGTGCTTGCCTGGCGCACGCGGCCAAGCTGGGTTCGAGCCCGCCAGGCGTGACCCCCGAGCACCGGGCCAGGAGTCAGCCCCGAGGACTGCCGAGCGTGGCCCAGGAGGCGAACCCAGAGCTAAGGAACCCGCACCGCGGCAAGAACAGCCCGGACGCAATTCGCCAATAAGGCGCGCCCGCCCTGACGTCATCCGGACGCGCCGCTGCCCGTCGCGCACCACGTGCCGGAGGCGCCGGCTGGCGGGCGGCGCGGCTTGAGGGCGGGGGCGTGCCCCGTCCCTTCCGGTGTGGCAAGATGGCGCTGCCCTTTGCGCGGTCGCTGTGCCTGTGCCGCTCGGGAGCCAAACGCTTGGGGCTTACCACCCCGGAAGCCCGCAGAGGTAGGGATGGCGCCTTTCGTTCTCTTCTCCCTCCTGGCGGGTCCCTGGCCGTTCTGCCCCACGCCCTGTCGGAGAAAAAGGTCCAACCTCTAAGGGTCGTGTCCCTTCCCCCTTCGCCGTCAGTCTGGATTCCAAACTTGGGACAGCCGATGTTTTCTTTCAGTCCCGGTGCTTACCCCCCCGAGGCCTGCCCTGCAGAAATGCCATCACGGCGTGCGCGCGACCGTTTTGTTAGACCTCGTTTCGACACGAAACGTGCCTTTTTCTATGATCCCGGAGCTCCCCCCCGGTCCCCCCCCCCCGCATCTATATGACCCCTCCCCCCGCCCCCTCCCGCATCTCGTTATCATACAGTCTCTCTGCTGTGCCCGCAGGAATCAGCTTCAAACTGGAAGAAAAAACCGCCCACAGCAGCCTGGCCCTCTTCAAAAATGAAACAGGCGTCAAATACGGCATGGTGGGGTTGGACCCCACCAAGCTGGCCCAGAACGTGGAACGCTTCCGTGAGTGGGCAGTGGTGCTGGCAGACACGGCGGTCACCAGTGGCAGGCATTACTGGGAGGTGACAGTGAAGCGCTCCCAGCAGTTCCGGATAGGAGTGGCGGATGTGGACATGTCAAGAGAGAGCTGCATTGGTGTGGATGACCGCTCCTGGGTGTTCGCCTATAACCAGCGCAAGTGGCACTCCATGCTGGCCAATGAGAAAGCCCCAATTGAGGGGATTGGGCAGCCAGAGAAAGTGGGACTGCTGCTGGAATTTGAGGCCCAGAAGCTAAGCCTGGTGGACGTGAACCGGCTTATGGTGGTCCACACACTTCAGACAGAATTTCGGGGCCCGGTGGTACCTGCCTTTGCCCTCTGGGATGGAGAACTCGTGACCCACTCGGGTCTAGAGGTGCCTGAGGGCCTCTAGCTTGGGTAGCACTGGAGTCCCTGATCCCACTCTTGGCCAGCCTCTTGCTGTATTGAAAACCCTTTAACGTCGTCCCAAGCAACCTGTAGCTTCCTCAATTCAGCGTGCAATATCTGAAGTCATTTTCCTCTCACCTCTCCTGTGGCTGGGCACAAACACCCTGTCCCCTCCCCCACATGGCCAGTCTCTGAGCTACCACAACTGTACTTTTTCCCTGACTTGCTTCCTCTGCCTCCTTGTGCCCAGATCTTTCTTCTGTGTTCTTTTCAGTCTGGGGTCATACCTTTCAGCTTGGTTTACCTCTCCCTTTCTTTGCCCTTATCTCACTTGTTTTTGAAGCTCTACCAAATGTCCAGCGCAAATCGTTTCTATCTCTGGCTGGAGGAGCGGTGCAGTCCTTGAGTCGGCCCATTCTCTATTGCACAGTTTGGGATCTGGCTCCTCAGGAAGTGCTTTACTGTGTCAGAGTAAGAATAGAGCCATCCTTCCCTAGTACCTCAGTGACACACTCTTAGCCCCACAAGCTGCAGTATCCTCACACCTATCCCTTCGCCTTAACACCTCTGACACCTGGTCAGTCTGTTAACACTGGGCCAGTTACAACCATGACCAAGGGAGAAGAGACACTTGAGGGATAGTGAGGGTTTTCGTGGTAGAATTTTTGTTCTTGAGATGTTCCCACTTCATTTCTGCTACAGTTAGAACTTCCAGAGGGAAGAGGGAGGGGCTGAGGTCTTGCATAAAGCGTTCTTGGACCTGCCTCCACCCAAACCCTTGGCCCTGTTGGCAGCAGAGTACTTAACCAGAGACAGTATTTGGAGTAGAGGAGGACCGGGGGGATGAGTGAGCGTGTATGTAGAATATGTATTGTTTGAGCTCCGATCCTGTGGTTCTATCTTACTCTACACCTGTGTGAAGGTGATGCAGCTAGGTGGTACTAAGGAAAAAAATGACTGGGTTTAGCAAAGTAATTTGTATAATTAAAGTTTATTTGAACACAAAATACTTTCTCTGTCTATAAAATTGCTATTAGCAGTAGCACTTCCTGGCCAAGGGGATGGGGCAGCAGATCTCTCCAGAGGCCTAAAACCAGGCACAAAGAAAGCTACCTCCCCTCCTGCTAGATCGTAAGAAATCCTTCCCTCAGGATGGTTTCTTTAGGGAGAAGAGGGAGTCTGTGGGAAGACCTGGGGTGGTTTGAGTGGGCCAAGCCATTAGACTGTAGCTCGAAGCAGCTTCCGGGCTCCATAGGTAGCTCTCTACTGCAGGTGTCCACTGAGGCACTTCTCTATACTGTTTGCCAAGAGAATGGGGCATTTTTGCTCTCAAAGAAGCACTGGTCTAAGTCCGGTCCCCACTGAAGCAGTGCAGCGCTCCATAGCATGTTTGGTGGTGATAGGTTAAGTATGTGGCCAGCTCATGCTTTTTTCTTGAGCAGGGACTGTGCATGGCCCCCAGGCTCACACCATGCTCTCTAAGTTCTCTTTGGACAGGACCTCAGCTGCTGCCTCAGTCTGGGTCTCTGAGGGCGTGTAGGAGTCCTGGTAGTCTTGAAGCAGCTTTACCACCTCCACGTGGTTGAACTGCACAGCGTCGTCCAGAGGAATGTTGCCCCACCTGAAGGGAACAGTGGCTGAGACCAGGCAGAGACGACATGGAGAATGTCGCGGGTGCCTATGCCATGGTGGGGGCTGCAGGCCAGTGAAGATGCCCCCACTTAGAGCTTAATCCAACTCACCTGTCCTTGACAAAAGGATTCACTTTGCAGGCCTCAATCAGGAATTTAACAACATCCATGTGTCCTAGGGATACGGGCAGGAGGAAAATGAGGGTACAGCTCCTTGGCAGCTTGAGTCGAACCAAACGGGGGCGGGGGAGACCTTCCTCTTTTGTTCCCTTTAGCACTCATGAAAAGCCAATGGACAGAAAGTCATCTGGATAAAGAAGTTCTGCCCGGGGACATTTACAATGGGGTGTTCTCATGGTAGAGAGTGGGGGCAGAGACTCCCTCAGATACCTTCAGCTGCAGCGACATGCAGGGCTGTGCGAGAGTCATAGTCTTTCTGTTCCATGTCCATGGCTGACAAAGCAAACCTGAGGATGGTGGAAAGTAGCTGGCGTTACCCTAGTCACCAGAGGGTCACTGATGACCTTTCTGAAGTGGCTCAACACTGGACAGGTTCCAGAAAGAAGTCGAAGATTGATGGGCCCTGCACAACTGATTCTTGGGTGCCCAGAGGAGACTTATGCCCACATCCGAGAGATTGGAGTGTAATGTTTCTTCCTAACTGTGGTGGATGCCAGCAACTTGTTTGATGTTGGTAATTCAACTAACAAGGTTCTTACCCTCCTCCTAGGACTCTGCTCCTAATACCCAGGTTAACTGAAACAGTGGTGCCTGGATTTTCTTAGTAGTGAGAGACAGTGCATAATGGAAGTACCTTCTTAGAGCTGAGACATCTCCACTGTAGGCAGCGAACAATAGGTTCACCACAGACTTGTTCTGGAAAACAAATCATACCCACCTGAGATTAACTGTGACTTTGAACCCACCCGTTTCCAGCCAAGGGGACTGTGGAGGGGTACATGACAGTCTGTTCTGAAACATTTCCCGTGGCCACTGGGATTTTCCTTACTCGAACTTCTGCCCCTTCGCGCCGTGGGTCTAGTTTCCGAGTACAGTGCCTCAAGTTGTCATAGTTGTGGAAATTGAAGTGAGACACCAGCTTCTACAATTATAAGCCACAATGGTTGTTTACTTAGCTTTGCACTTAAAGGCTTTACTGAATCTGAACATATTAAATATCCAGAGTCACTCACCTGGCAGAAGTTGATGCCCCTGTGGCTGTTCCCCAGCTTGTCCAGTGGAGGTGACAGACACATCATTCCCATGACATTGGGAACCACTAGCAGGATGGCTCCAGACACAGCCGACTTGGCTGGCAGGCCCACCTAGGGGACAAAGTTCAAACGGGTTGAGGGGCTGGAGCGATAGTACAGTCAGTAGTGTACCAACCTGGGTTCGATCCCCAGTATCCCATATTGTCCCCAGAGCACCGCCAGGAATAACCACTGAGCATCGCTGGGTGTGGCCCAGATATCAAAAACAACCCCCTCAAACCCCCCCCCCCCCAAAAAAATCGCAAATCCTCAGGATAAGCTAGGTTAAGCGAAGTTGAGCCTGGAGTGATAGTATAGCAATCCAAAATATAGAATATAGCAATATAGCAATCCAAAACATGCCCACGCCAGATTTAATCCCCTGAGCAAGCCAAGGGGTAATTTTTTTTCAAATGAGATAGACCGTTACAAAGCTGTCCATGATTTGGTTTCAGTCATACAATCTTCCAACATCATCCTTCCACCAGTGTACATTTCACAGCACCAATGTCCCCGGTTTCCCCGCACCTCCTACTGCCAACACCCCCTCACCCTCACCCTCCCAGCCTGCCTCTATAGCAGACACTTAATCTCTGTCTGTCTCTCTGTCTCCCTCCCTCCTCACCCTTTTGGGCATTGTGGTTTGCAATACAGATACTGAAGTGACATCTATCCCTTTCCCTACTTTCAACACTCAATTCTGGTCCAGCACGATCATTTCCAACTATTATTTTCTTACTGTTCGCCCCTCCCTGCCCCCTCCCTCATGGTACATTCCGACTACTGACCAGTTCTCCTGGCTCCTGGTCCCTGTTTAAACCAGGAGTAATTTTTGAGTGCAGAGTCAGGAGTAAACCCTGAACGTTGCCAAGTGTGAGCAAAAACCAAAAAAGATGTTGAGTCAAGTGGTCTTCAACGCATATGCCACAGACCACCACCTGTGTGCAGGCAGACAGATGAGAACCACAGGGTGGTTCTGGCCCAAACTACTGTATGGCAAAGGTCAGTCCCAGCTCAGCCTTTCACTTGTTCATTAGCCTTTTCTTACCTGCTTCCCCCTGCAATGAATGACTTCAGGAGGGGGAATGTTTACGGAGATTTTTGTCTGATGCTGTGCCTGAGCTAAGACAGTCTCTCGCCTAACTTACTTTGTGGTGGTAGAAAAGAAACAAAACAGGTAAGCTGAGAAGCAGACAAACATTACAGAAAAAGGGAAAAAAGATAACTGGTGGTGAAACTGAAGGAAAGAAGGAAAAGAAGGACTGACAGAGGAAGATGGGCCCACTTGAGACAGGATGGATAGAGAAGCATCTTGGGGAGAAAGCTCTAAGCGGAGACAGAGGGAGTGAGGTGAAGGGGTGCAGAACAGCACACGAGCTGCAGCAGCCAGTTTGTGAGTCTGAAGGACCTGGTGTGTCTGACAGACTTTCCAGATGATTCTCTGCCTAATCATCTGGAAGTTGAGTGAGTGGACCAGCAGTGGGAACAAGTTCCCCTGTCCACCTTCAGAGCCTTTTGTGTCATCATCTCTTTGGGGCACTGGACTTGGGGCCTAGAAGCACTCACGTGGAAGGCAAACTGGCCTGAGAAGTCATACATGCCGCAGGAGTGCATGAGGCTGAGTGTGCTGCGCACGGCTTCGGCGCTCAGCACGCTCTCGCCTGTAATGGGGCAGATCCCACCGTTGGCCAGGGTGGCTGCCATGACACTGCCTGATTCGCAGGTGACTTCCACGGAGCACAGCTGTGGAGACAAGACAGAGGTGAAGGTGTGGTGTGGACCTGGACTTGGCGCTCTTAGGCATGCAGCAACATTCCTGGCATCTTCATTTAAACTTCAGTTTCTGTGTTTTTTTTTTAATTTTCTTTCAGTTTTGTTCATATTTTTCATTTCCCCTCTTGCTTCATTGTTGTTGATACTGTTGTGATGCTGGGCTCTTTGACAGGGGAGGAGGAATCGAACCTGGGTCCCCGGGTCGGCTGCACGGCAAAGCCTGGCAAGCTACCCATGATATATTCGATATGCCAAAAACAGTAACAATAAGTCTCACAATGGAAACGTTACTGGTGCCCTCTCTAGCAAATCCATGGACAATGGGAGGATAGTACTACTGTTGTGATGACTGGGGGCTGGATACACTTGGCCCCTGATGTTTCTGAAGGATACCAGGGATGTCCCTCTTGGGGGTCAGAGCCAGAAGGGCAATTCTGTCGTGTGCCCTTGGCCCTGAGCTCAGTGTTTGCTTACCTGGAAGTAGAGGTCGAGAGCTGCCATCATGTCCACTCCCTTCGGAAAGCACTGCCAGGAAGAAGAGGGGAGCGCTTGGCGTCTGAGGCCATCAGCCATCCCCATCACACTCGGGCTCCCAGTCAAAGGCCCCAACACGGACTGCCCTTCCACCAGCCACAGAACCTGGGGGATCTTATCAACCTTTCCAGTTACCTTCTTCTCCTTTAGATAATAGCCAATGGCATAATTCCGATCCCCTGTTTCCTTCTCTGACTGGAATCTGAAGAAAATATCCAATTTAGTACTTGATATTTTAGGGGTGGGTGTGAGAAATGGGGAGTGAAGGAGGAATATATTCCCTGAGAGAGACACACTATATCATACATGCCAACATAAATCAGTTCCCTTGTAAGTTCTCACAGTTTTACTACAGGAAATGTTTACTACAGGAAACCTTAACAAATACTAGGCATTGCTTTATTGTAAAGTGCAAAAACCAAATGAAAACCTAAGATGATCTAGTCATCTCCTCTAGAAAATCTGGTGAGGTTTTGTTTGGCTTTGAGAGGGCTGACAAGAAAAGGCCTAAGCACAGACCTTCTCATATGTAATAAGTAGAAGTGGATCAACTTCTTTTACAAAATGAACAAATGTCACTGAAGAGACTCAGGAAACTCCGAGGCCAAATCTCCCTTGGACTTGTTTCTTAGATTCATCCTATCATCACCTTCCATTACACAAACACACCACAAAGCATTCAGCCAATCCTCTGAACAGGGCCTTACGTGGCATTGCTGAAACCCATGTATTCATTCCCAGCCATTTTGTTCAGAAATTGCAAGACCTAGAAGAGAAGAAGGGGTGTGGGAGGCACCTTATGAGGGAGGACCCACACTAAGCACACAGTAGGCTGATAAACCATTCTGATATCTTTAGTGCATACACACAGGGGCTTTAGGAGCTTCCCAACACCACCCCCCCACCCCCCGCCCAACCCCTTTAATTTCGTTTTTGGGATGTACCTGGCAATGCTAAAGGATTACTCCTGGCTCTGTGTTTAGGGATAACTCCTGGTGGTGCTGGGGGCGTTAGGTTGCGGGGGGTGGGGTAGAGGGGAAGACATGAACACCATATGGAATCCCAGGGATTGGATCCGGGTTGACCGTGGGCAAGGTAAATGCCCTAACTGCTGTACTATCACTCTGGCCCCAGAAAGCGTTCCCTCACCTCTGGGAAGAAGTTTATTACAGTCTGGGATGCTATCAAAATGCGATAGAGCTATGCAAGCCATTGTTCTTGTTGTTGTTTGTTTTGGGGCCCATATCCAGTAGAACTCTATGGTTACTCCTGGCTCTGGGTTCAGGGATCATTTCTGACAGTTCTAGGGAACTATGTGGGATGGAGGGAATTAAAACCAGGGTTGACTGTGTGTAAGATAAGTGCCTTAACCCTTATGCAGGCCATGGAGAAAGCTGTCAGGGTTTGAGTAGCAGAAGAACTTACAAAGTCAAACTTCTCAGCTTTGTTACAGTCCATCTGCAGAGAGAATAAAGGAGCTATGTTAGTGTTCCAAGACCAGAAGGACGACAGGAGTGTCAGAAGAACCTAGTTGAGTTAAAGTGTTAGACTGGTTTTCCTAATGGGAATGAATATATTTAAGAGTGGACTTTTTTTTAAAGTAACTGGGATTGTTTTTATGCATACTTTGTGATCTTAAACACTTGCTACTGAGTCATTTTATTATAAAATTATTAATACAAATTAAAATACCATCAGAGCCTCTCCCATCCTGAATCTCAATCCCACTCCCATTCTCAATTCCAATCCTTATTCCTGACACCCACCTGTGTTTTCCTGACTCCATTGCTGTCACCAAACCCAACCCTATTCCCATCTCCATCCCCATTCCTTATATCCAGGCTGGAACCTTGCTCTCTCTTATCCCTGACTCCCATTACTCACTCTAACAGTAACAAATGTCAAGGCCATAGAGATAGTACATACGTGGGTAGAGCATTTGCTTTGCACACAGCTGACCTGGGTTCGATCCCTGGCACTCCTTATGTCCCCTGAGCCTCACCAGGAGTGATCCCCGAGCCAGGAGTAAGCCCTGACTACCACTGGATGTAGCCCAAAAACAGAGTACCATGTGTCCACTGTGTCACTGTCACTGTCCTCCCGTTGTTCATCGATTTGCCCGAGTGGGCCCAGCAACGTCTCCATCGTCAGGCTTTTTGTTACTGTGTTTGGCATATCGAATACCTCACGGGTAGCTTGCCAGGCTTTGCCATGTGGGCAAGATACTCTCGGTAGCTTGCCGGGCTCTCTGACAGGGGCGGAGGAATCGAACTCGGGTCGGCCATGTTGGCTTCATGCAAGGCAAATGCCCTACCTGCTGTGCTATCAGTCCATCCCATCCACCGTGTACATTATAATAATTATATCAATTTGTATTGATAATATCAATAACTGAATTATCAGATTAGGGTTAAGTCCATTAGGGCCTACTGGGCTAGGAATGGGATGAAGTGGATTTCAGAAAAAGGTCTGTAGCTATATCTACCCTAAATAAGGGGAGAGGCAGGGCCTGGTCATCCCACCCACCCCCACTTATGGTTTCCCGACTGTGTCAACTAGAGAGTCAACATCACAGGGACTCTGACACCTGGGTGCTTGGGGGAGGGTTCCTAACACCACCTTCCCCAGGAGTGCCTGTGATTGGCTTCAGAGCGTTTCTGCCCTCACTGTTCTCAAGCTCTTGCTCAAGCCCTGGGAGACCGACAGTTGATGGGCCAGCCCGACACCTTTGCTCAAGGCCAACTCACAGTTCCAGGTGACGTGAATAGCTGCCCTGGCCTGGCCATTCACCCTTCCTTCCTTGCGTCTCTCACCCAGAGTTGGCCAATCCGTGTTTGATTGCACTGTCCTCCCCCTGTGTGTAGAATTTGGCCCTTGATCCTAGGCAGGGGTCAGGATCAGCTCACTTCTCTAAAAGCCAGGGAACTCTAGGCTCCAGACTTATGATTGGAGGCAGGGTACCATTCCTTTCTGTGTTCATTTTGGGGTCACATCTGGAGGTGCTCAAAGCTCTTACTACAGCTTAGGGGGTGCTCCTAGCAATGCTTAAGGTACCATGAGGGGAGCAAAGCATGCACTGCAGCCCAATGAACTCTCTCTCCAGCCCCATATTCCTTTCATTAACATCCTCAGTATATGTGCTTCCTACTGTGCCTTTGTGGGGCCCCTCAAAGATACCACGGGATCTCAAGAGAGCTGGGAAGGTATAAGGAATAGGAACAAGAGGTTCTGAGAACAGTACCACCTAAAAGACGAGGGTAACACTCACCTTGATCAAGGAGCTCACAACAATGGCGCCAGCATTGACCATGGGGTTATGGGGGATGCCTGAGGAAATATAAGCCACCCAGAATCTTAGCCTCGGAGCCAAAACTTTCTTTATAGCCTACTCACTTGGCAGACTACACAAGAAAGCAAGCTTTGTTGGGGTTGATGGGATGACAGATTAATCAGGAAGGGGAGTGGAGCAAAAAAGGTTGGAGGAGTGGGCAATAAGGAGAAGGGGCAGTCTGAAGTCTGGTCTGAGTCCCAGGAGTGCTCACCTTCCTCATTGAGGGAGAGCTTATTGTACCGCAGGCCACTGGGCTCCTTGCCCACAAATTTGTGCACGTAGTCGGTGCCGAGGGTGCTTATGGAAATGGCGTAGGTGAGGGGCTTCACGCAGGACTGCAGGCAGAATGGGATCTTTGTGTGGCCCACAGAGTGCCTAGAGGCAGACAAGGGTCAACGACAGTGGTCAAGCCTTTGTTTTGCCCCTCTGCCATACCCCCCTTTCTCTCACCCAGAATCTCACCGCTGACCATCCACAGTGCACAGGGAGACACCCCACAGCTCTGGATTTGCCTTCGCCAGCTGAGGGATGTAGGCGGCCACCTGGTATGAGTGGGTCGAGAAAACAGACAGAGAGATGTGGATGTGGAGAGAAAAGAGAGACCGGTCTCAGAGTCAAGAGAATCTTTTCGATAAAACTACAAGTCTGTCTGCTGCAGGGCAATGTGGTTCCCTACTGCCTGGCATTCCCAGTATACGCCCCAGCCTTCCGTTCTAAGGCCTTATATTTCCATAGCCCCGCATCTGTAGGGGTGGCAGTAACACCCATGGAAGGTTTGAAAAAAGAAGGGGGTAATCCTGGGGTCACTTTGCCTTTTGGTTCTTTGGCTCCATTATTCTTACGGGATTCCTTCAGAGTTCAATCGAATCCTATGGGATTGTCCCCATTTAAAACAAACAAAAAAACTTACTCATTCCCTTGACTGCTCTAGAAATTACATGTATAGAAATACATAAAGTCCCCATTTTTAGAAGTTTTGCTATCCACTGGATTCCCAGCCCCAGGAAATCTGCAAGAAGCAAGGTCTATCTGGCCCAGATCCCTTGCCCCTCCCTTAGTCCCCTGGCCCTCACTTTGCCTCCAGTGAGCTCTCTGGCATCCTCAAAGATGCGATCCACATGGCCCGTGAACTCCTCAAAATCAGGAATGACAAACTTCTTTCGGAATGCCTGGGTCAGGAGCACAATGTTGCTGCTCACACACCTGGATCCCAGACACGATTGGGTTAGGGGGCTGGAGAGATGCAGCCGTGACTCACTCTAGCCGTGGACGTTAGGAATAAAGAAGGTGTGAGTGGTCAGTGGTCATGGGTTTGGGATCAATAGTTGTGTGACCATTGGCATGTCACCATATCATTCTGGGTCTTAGGTTTCTTTGCCTCTAACATGAGGGGTTGTAATGATGTTGAAAGGGATTCTAAGAAACAGCATTTGGGGATATGAGAAAAAAATAAATGCCTAAATAAGATGTATTTATAGTAGGCTATCTTTATATTTTAGAATCCAAAGTCATATAAAAATATTTACATATATCCCTATAGGTGTGAAATGCACAGGACATTATCTAGAAGAAGCCCATTAATCTGGTAACAGTGTTGACTTCTAGCGAAAGGGACTGGGATGGGGAGAGAAGGAATGGAGAACATGTAGTTCTATACTGTTTGAACTTTCATAATGAGTATTTATATATTCATGTACAACTTGTATGTTAAGTCATGAAATGAAGGTTGAACTAGCGAGGCCTCAAGATCACTCCCTGCTGTTAAAGTCTGCATTCAGGGCACAGATCTGAGAGTTGATGCCCTTGATTCTGGGGCCCTCACTTTTGGAAGAGTTCTCGGTCCAAGAGGCCACCACTGCTGGACTCTCGAACCATGTGGCGCATCTGGCTCAGGCAGTCCCGGAGCCGGGGATCTGACGTCTGTAGCCCGGTGGCCTTCAGTGCCTTTAGGAGAATGAGAAAGTCAGGTGAATTCCACTGCAAGGACAGTACCATGACCCTAATAATTTTCCCTAGCGAACAAAAATTAGTTCGACCTCTGTTATTATACTAGGTGAAATAAGTGGGTTTGGAAACTAAGGAGGGAACAGAGAGCTAACCTTTGAGTGCTAATCCTGGCTCTCTATCCTTTCTCATAAAAGCAATTGGTTTCTGAACCCCTTGGGTAAAAAGTCCCAAACCAAGAAGGTGGGTTGAGTTTGAAGGTTCCATCTTTCCAATCTGGTTGGGATGGGATTATTGCATAAGCCTAGATAGCTTCTATCATCTGTGTCCTTCATCTTCACATCGTGCCCATTGGCTGCCCTGAACATCTCCTACCTTCCCTTGCCCACTTTCCCAAGGTCCTGAATGGCTGATGCTCTGAACAGGTAGAAAGCAACTTACAGTAGTGAACTTGTGGATAGGGATTCGTTCCTGTCCCTCAGCAATAGTGTAGAAGAGCAGGTCTCCCAGGCGGGACAGCATGCCACTCTCTGATGCATCACTGTTTGGGGGCAGAGATAGGGGAGGAGGGTAGGAACCTGAGAACTGCTCTCTGTTCCTTCTCTTGGAACATGGGCTTACAAGTAGGTAGATATTCTCATTCACTCCTTGCCTCTTCCCTGAACAGTCTACTCTATAGTCTATCCTTATAATTCTAGCTCTTGACATCTGTCCTGAAAAGTTTAGTGTGTGTGTGGTGTGCTGAGATCGAACCCAGGGCCTCACACATGCAAGGCAAGTAAGCCCTTTTGCCACTAAGCTACAGCCCTGACCCAGTTCTGAAGAGTTCTAAATTTCACTTCCTAACCAACATTCAGATCTTTATTTCTAGCTGCCTTAACACACTTCCGTTTCTAGATGCTCCACAGGAACTTCAGACTCAACATGTCCAAACCCCAGGTCAGCTCACCTCCCTCCCTTTGCCACTGCCAGTGTTTCCCACTGAGGTTAATAGCATTGGTACTCACTGGGTGCCCAGCCGGAAGCATGGGATCATTTGAATAATTCCCATACCTTAATTATATCCACGTGCAGTTGGGTGAACAACACTGAATAAATTCACCTCTGAAACATCTCAAATTTGCCCTCTATTTTCCTTTCACCCCGTATTAGCATAATATAGTACTAAGAACCAAAGTTACTCCTTAATAAATGTGTAATCTTGATATGTATAGAAGGTCAAGTTATTTAATATTGCTGAACCTGCTTTCTCATCTGTAAAATGTGAGCAGTAATGTCTTTCACATGGGTGAGGTGAGGCTTAACTGAAATAATATTGGGTGAAAATCTGTCCTTCCTTAAAAAGTAGGTACTTGGTAAAATCATGCTTCTTTATTATAAGCTCCTTACTCTCTATATACCTAAAATATGCTAGCTACCTTCCTTAATCTAAAATTCAATCTCTAGGGTCGGAGCGATAGTACGGTAGGTAGGGCGTTTGCCTTGCACACGGCCAACCTGGGTTCGATCCCCAGTATCTTATATGGTCCCGAGCCCCACTGGGAATGAACCCAGAGCACAGAGTCAGGAGTAAGCACTGAGCATCGCAGGGTGTGGCCCCAAAACAAAACAAACAAAAACCTTGCTAAGATTTCTTTCTTTTCCTCCATCATGCCCCCACCCCTCTCTCCCCCAGTGCTCCAGTTACAGCTGGTAATTAGTAGCTCTCTAAATGGGCCAGGCATGGAATGACCACCTCCTCCTCCTTCTCCACATCCTCCTCCACCTGGCACAGTACTGCTTATCTGTCAATGTGCAGATCAAATGTTATGAACTCTGTAAAGGCACCCCTAAACCTTTAGATGTTGCTTCTGTGCTAGTATGGCATGACACCACCTCACTGACAGAAGAATCACCTTTGCTCCTGTTGGGTCTTTGTGTTTTACATATCTTTGTTTTCCTAGTACTGAGCAAAGTCTTAGGCTCATGTGGGTCTTCAATAAAGAATTCCCAAGTTAACAAGTTACATGGCTAGAAAGGCCCTTTCCCCAAAGTATCTCAGTGGCTTAAGCACCTAAAATTCAAGGTACCAAAGTCTTGAGAGTTCTCCAACAAATAGGTCAACAAATTAAAGAATGATTTTATCAGATCTGAAGCCCCTTAAAATGCTTCAACCCGGGGGCTGGAGTGATGGTACAGTGCGTAGGGCATTTGCCTTGCTGGTGGCCAAACAGGGTTTGATCCTTAGCATCCCACATGGACCCCCAAGCACCGCCAGAAGTGATCCTGAGTACAGAGCCAGGAGTAACCCCTGAGCATCTCATGGTGTGACCCCCCCCAAAAAAAGAAAATGCTTTAACCTAATAATTTGACTTCCAGGTATTCTACAGATTATATATATATATATATATATATATATATATATATATCATATTTATATTTGTTCTCTACCTTGTTAAAATGATTGAAAACTTAAAATCTTGGTTAGGTAAATTATGTATTCAGAAAATGGAATTTTATTCAGTGTTAAAAAAGAAATGACTATTGATATGGAATGATCTCCAAGATGTAATATGAACTAAAAAGAAGCAAGTTGTGGGGTCAGAGAGATAGTACAGCAGATAGTACAGCTGACCTGGGTTCGATCCTTGTCACCCCATCTGGTCCCCCAGGCCAGCTGGCAGTGATCCCTGAGTATATTGCCAGGAGTAACCCCTGAGCACCTCTGGTTTGGCCTCAAAACAACAAGAGCAAGTTATAGAGAAATGTTTATAATGTAAACTGTTATGTAAAAGGAAAAAATATCTATATTTACTCAAACACAAAGTATTTTTGGATGGATATATATATATATGAGGAATGAAATTCCTTTGTGAAGATGATATAGGTGGGCAAACGGTGGGAGGAATACCTTCTACTGTGCATAAGTCTGTATATTTTAACTTCTGAATCATAAAAATAAAAGAATATACAGCTATTGAGTCTGATATATGAGACTACTTTATTGAAGTGATGCTTTAGAAAATAAAAAGTAGGGGCCGGAGTTATAGTGCAGTGGGTTGGGCATTTGCCTTTCGCGCAGCTGACTCAGGTTGGATCCCTGGCGTCTCATCTCATATGGTCCCGTGAGCACAACCAGGAGTAACTGCTGAGTGCAGAGCCTGAGTACTGCTGGGTGTGACCCGAAAAGCAAAAAATAAAATAAAATGAAAAATTTTAAAATTAAATTAAATTAAAAATAACGCATTTATGGGGTTGGAGAGAGAGTACATGGGCTAAGGTGCTTGCTTTGCATGTGGCTAACCGTTTTAAATCCCTGGCACTACATATGGTTCCCCCAAGCACTGCCAAGAGTGACTCCTGAGCACAGAACCAGGAATAAGCCCTGAGCATCATTAAATGTGGCCTACCCACCCCAACAATCAAAAGAAAACAAAAAACAAAATTAAAAAAAATTTTTTTTTTTTTGCTTTTTGGGTCACATCAGGCAATGCACAGGGGTTACTCCTGGCTCTGCACTCAGGAGTTACTCCTGGCAGTGCTCAGGGGACCATATAGGATGCTGGGAATCAAACCCTGGTCGGCCGCGTGCAAGGCAGACGCCCTACACGCTGTCCTATCACTCCAGCCCCGAATTAAAGATATTCTTAAAGAGATGGGGATGTGGCTCAGTGGTACAGCATCTACCATCTAGGTGGAGACCTGGGTTTAATCCCTAGCACTGAAAAAGAGAAAGAGATCCCGAACACACACACAGAGACAGAGAGAGAGAGAGAGAGAGAGAGAGAGAGAGAGAGAGAGAGAGAGAGAGAGAGAGAACAGTGGATCTTTCTGCTGGCAGAGAATTGGAGGGTTAAAGTTAACTTACTTAGGAGTAACTCAAGAAGGAAGGTCTGTGGGAACACTGGAAGGAAAAATCTCTGAAGGCTAAGAGAGGAAATAATACTACAATACTGAATGTATCACAGCCTTAAAAACACTACATTAGGGGGCTGGAGCGATAGCACAGCGGGTAGTGTGTTTGCTTTGCACGCAGCCGACCCAGGTTCCATTCCCAGCATCCCATATGGTCCCCCGAGCACCGCCAGGAGTAATTCCTGAGTGCGTGAGCCAGAAATAACCCCTGTGCATCGCTGGGTGTGACCCAAAAAGCAAAAAAAAAAAAAAAAACCCAAACCAAAAAACACTACATTAACCCAGACATGTGTTAATCTACAACAGAATGTCAAGGTGGAGGGGCGAAGCGAAGTGCAGAATGATGTAATGGTATGATACCATCTGTACAAGAACAGAGAAAATGTTAGCATGCATCTGCTGAGAAACTCTCTCTCTAAGGTTATATACAAGGTATTAACGACAGATGTCTAGGGAGACTAAGCAATTGAATAGTAATTGAACAAATGCACAAGACTAGGTAGCAACCAAATTGAAATTGTTTAAATTATGATACTTCATACAATGAATTCAAAATGGCAAAATGGAAGCCATTAAAATAGCAGTGTCTGGGGGCTGGAGCGACAGCACAGTGTGTAGGGCATTTGTCTTGCACGCGGAAGACCCGGGTTTGATTCCCACCGTCCCATATGGTTCTCCGAGCACCGCCAATAGTAATTCCTGAGTGCAGAGCCAGGAGTAACCCCTGTGCATTGCCGGGTGTGACCCCCAAAAAAGCAAAAACAAAAAAAATAGCAGTATCACACACATTGAATGATCTTAGAAGCTATTCACAAATGGAAAAGCTAGGTTATCAAAGATTATGAATATGAAGGTTCTATTTTTGTTCAGTTATATAGTTACATATAGGTTTGAATATGACAGTATTAACTGATAACCTCTAATACTGGGACTTTTATTTTTTTTGCTTTTTGGGTCACACCCAGTGATGCATAAGGGTTACTCCTGGCTCTTCACTCAGGAATCACTCCTGGTGGTGCTCAGGGGACCATATGGGATGCTGGGAATCGAACCTGGGTCGGCTGCGTGCAAGGCAAATGCCTGCTATGCTATCTCTCCAGCCCCCTGGGATCTTTATTTTTTCTTAATACTCTATATGAGAAAGCTAAAGAATAAAAAAACAGCCTGAATCACAAAGCATTTTCCCTTTGCTGTGATTTTCTCCTCGACAACCCCCCCACCAGACCCCTACCCCTTACAGATCACACTCACAAAGCCCAATTCCCTCAACCCCCCAGCTCTATTGCCCAAAGGAACATTAGTCCAAGGAAGTTACCAGGGGGTTCCTTGAGTACAGCCATAGGCAGGAGGAACAAGATTTCTAAAACACTTTCATCACCTGACCTAACTGGGTAAAGGAAAAATGATTGTGTGTAAAACTCGTGTTCGCCATCCCCCAAAATGTGGGAGGATGAGGCAGATGAAATCTTTATTCCAGCACCGTTTCTCCCATGGTGATTACTTAGGATAGGAGAGAAAGGGCTTATTCCTGAAAGTTTAAATGCTCCTGAGTCTCCTGGAGAAGAGGTTTAATGGAAAATTACAGCACGATTATTAATCAGTGATCCCCTACTGGCCTGTTAGCTGTCATCCAGTGGTGGCGAGGTGGTGCTATTTGTCTGCGACTTTAACCACGGTGTGTGTGTATTTCTGAATGTCATCAGTAGATGCGAATGACGGGGTTGATGGTCTGTTTCCTGTTCCTGCTATAATAAAGCGGGGGCTACTTGGCTAGTTGTCTAGATTGGCTTCTGGGGAGGACAAAATGTCCTGCCCAGCTTCATATACCTCTCAGATAGAAGGTTCAGTCACTAAAGGTTCTGGGTGGTGGGGGAGAGAGATGCAGCCAAACCCAGTAAGCCCGGGGCCCGAGCAGCACAAATAACGGCTTGGACTGACCCTGGTTTGGGGAATCCGCGTCTTATTTTATTCTTCTTCTTTTTTCTTTTTAACCCTGTAAACATTTTCCTCATCCGACGACCAGTTGGCAAAACCGATCTGATTCTGCAGCCCTGGCTAACGCACACACCCCAACACAGAAGCAAACGCCACACCACGGAGCTGCGCACTAAGAATCCAGGCGCCTCACACAGTAAACGCCGGAGACACGCGCGCGCACACGCACACGCGCGCGCGCACACACACACACACACACACACACACACACAGACCCGCCACACTCAGAGACCCAACTACACCAGGACTCGAGTCAGAGGCCGCTCCAGACCCACGCGTGTCCGAAAACACACACGAGGGCCGGGGGAAAGGGCAGGGCAGGGGAGGGCAGCGCGCACACGGCCCGGCACTCAGACACGTGCACCCCGCCACGTCCCGCGCCCGCAGCGCTCCCCGCGAGGTACGCACCTTGGCCAGGCACCATCCCGAGGACCGACCTGCCCAAACGCCCTCCCGGGCGGACGGCACTTGACCGCCCGAGCGCGGCGGACCCACAGCCCCAAATCTAGAGGAAAAGGCATCGCAGGCGAGTGAGCGAGGAGAGGGGAGACGAGCTGCGCTCCCGGGGAGAGAGGGCGACTCGGGAGCTAGAGCGAGCGACAGTGGGAGTGGGGGCGAGCCGGTCCCCTGCCCCTGTCCCGCGAGCCTTACTGATCCGGATGCTGCGGCTGGTGGCTGCGCGGCGTCTCCCGGCCCCGCGCCGCGGCCTCATTGAGGTGGTGCCGGACGCCCCCGCCTAGAAGGGGGCTCCGGCTCAGGTGGCCCCAGCCTCCCCGCCGGCACTGACTGCGGGCCCCGCTCAGCGCCTTCTGCAGAGCCCTCATGGAGCGCATCCCCCAGCGCGCCGCTCGCGGGGCCGGAGAGCCCGGGGAGCCCGAGCCGAGCTGGAGGGAGGGCGGAGGAGTCGCGGGCGAGGCACGGCGGGGCAGCCGGCGCCGCGGGGTGATGAGCCTGGAAGCAGGAGAGGTGGGGCCGGGTGGGTGGGCTGGCCCCGGAGGAGGGGCCGACAGCCCCCGGGGTGAGGGTCACGCGCGGCTGCGCCCGTTTCCCACACACCGGGCGCGAGTGGGGGAACGGGGGGGGGGTGCCGGAGGGTGTCGAGAAAGGGGCGGTGACGCCCTCGAGATAGATAACGCTTCGGCCCAATCGCGGCGGGAGGAGCCTGGGGGGGCGGAGAAAGAGGCCGAGGTTACCCAATGGGAGCAAGGAGGCGGGCCACCTCCGAGCCCTGCGGATTCCTCCGCGCCGCGACCCCCTGCGCCTGGAGCGGCCACCCGACGCCCAGGGCGGGAAAGCTGAGGCGGCGTCGGCGGCCGTGAACCGCTCAGCACGCGGCCGCTTCGGAACGATGGACTTCGGGGGGACGGGAGAGCGGGACCTCTCCACATTCCGATAGGAGTGACCCCCGTTCAGAGTTCACTTAGTGGCCTTCGACGTTCCAAGGCCAGACCGGTGACCTTCCTAGTGCAGTGTAGCGGCGCAAAGCACGTCTAGTCAGGGCAGGGCCGGTGGCCGTGAGTGATCGACGCGGACCCTTAGGTACCCGCGCAACCCCCTGCCCCCCACGTGCCTGAAAGAGGCCCTGGACGCTTAGGACTCGAGGCAGTGACTTTAGGGCACTTTGGTTCTTGATTTGGGTGTGGGTGTGTGTGTGGGGGAGGCTGGAGCTGGATGCTCAGGGTTTACTCCTGGCTCTGTGCTCAGAGATTATTCCTGGCGGTGCTCGGTGGACCGTATGGGATGCCAGAGATTAAACCCAGGTCGGCCGTGTGCAAGGCAAGCATCCCTACCTGCTATACCATGGCTCCAGTTCCTGGTGCTTGTTTTATATTTATTTGGTAGCTATGTAGGATTTAGGTGGTGTATTTTATGCTATTTATTTAATTTTGGGAGATTTGGGGTCACACCGGGTATTGCTCAGGGTTTACTCCTGACTCTGTGCTCAGGTGTTACTCCCGGTGGTGCAGACAGGGGAACTATATGGGGTGCTCGAGATCCGACCCCTGTCAGCTGCCTTTCAAGGCAAGGGTCCAGTCCACTGTACTATCTCTTCAGCCACAGAAATACACACACACACACACACACACACACACTCACTCACATATGGCTTTTCATAATGGGACTGGGGTATCAAACATTTTAGTTTTATTTACTTAGACTTAATGATTTATTTTCTAATAGATGTGTGTGTGTGTGTATGTGTGTGTGTATCCAACTCAGGTTGACCATGTGGAAGGCAGGCGCCTTACCTGCTGTACTATCACTGGCCCCTCTAATAATGTTTTCTAAAAACCTTTTTAAAAATTGAATCACCGTGAATTACAAAGTTATAAAGATATTTATGACTGAATTTCAGGCATATATTGTTCCAATACCAATCCCCTTCATCAGTGCCCACTATCCTCCACCACTGTCCCCAGTTTTTCTCTCTCCCCCCCCCCACCCCCAGCCGTTGTCTGTGGCAGATACTTCCCCCCTCCTCCATTTCCTAGTGTTCCCTAGCCTAATTTATCCCCCTTACCCCTACCCCAATGCCAAGCTTCCTACTGAAGACCAGTTCTCATGCTCTTCGTTTCTGTTGCCATCAGGCATTTGATATTCCTCTACAATTTTTTTTTTAAATCCCACATATGGGAGAAAACATCCTGAGACTGTTCCTCTCCTTCTGACTGATTTCACTCAAATGATACTCTCCAGATCCATCCAAGTTGCAGCAAATTACATGACTTTATCTTTTCTTAAAACTGCATATTATTCCATAGTTATCCAGTCCTCTGTTCATGGGTAATTGGGTTGTTTCCATATTTTGGCTATTGCTTATGGTACTGCAGTGAACATAGGAGTACAGATGTCTTTTCTGATTTTTGCTTTTGGGCCCTTGGGGTATATTCCCAGGTGTGGAATTGCTGAGTCATATAGCTCAATTCCTAATTTTATTTTCTTTTTTTAATGTAGAAGTAATGCTTTTATTCAGCCATTGATTAAGCTGATTGAGCTGGGCATGAACTCCACAATTCTTAGCTTTTTGAGGAATATCCATATTGTCCTTCAAAAAGTCTGTACCATGGGCTGGTGCAATAGTACAACGGGTAGGGAGTTTACCTTGCATGTGGCTGACCTGGGTTAGATCTCCTGAATCCCATATGGTTTCCTGAGCACCACAAGGAGTAATTCCTGTGTGCAGAGCCAGGAGGAACCCCTGAGCATTGCCAGGGGTGACCAAAAAATTTTAAAAAAAAGTCAACATTTCTACTAAAAGTGAATGAGGGTCCCTTTTTCCCTTTTTCCCCACATCCTCATCATGTTTGCTGTTGTTCTTTCTGATGAGTGCCAATCTCTGGTGTGAAGTGATAACTCGTTGTTGTTTTGATTTCCATTTCTTTGATAATTTATATAGAGCATTTTTTCTTCTTTTCCTTTTCTTTTTTTTTGGTCACACCACCCATGAATTCAGGTCTGATGAATCTAGGTCTTTAATCCATTTTAATTTGACTTTTGTGCATGGCATTAGAAAGGTCTAGGTTCATTTTTTGGCATGTTGCTTACCAGTTTTTCCAACACCATTTGTTGAAGAGGCAGTCCTTGTCCACTTTACTTTTTTTTTTTCTCTTTTATCAAAGATTGGTTGACCATGTACCTGACTGTCTCTGGGTTTTCTATCCTATTCCATTGGTTTGAGGATCTGTTCTTATTCTGGTACCATACTGTTTTAATTACTACTATAGTACAGTTTGAAGTTGGGCAAACTGATACTTCCATCTTCTTTTCCCTGAGGATTGCTTTAGCTGTTCAGCAGTGTGTGTGGGGATTAGTGTTCCATATAAATTTCAGGAGTGTTTGATCTATATCTTTGAAAAATGTCATGGTATCCTTATAGGGAATGCATTGAAACTGTATAATGCTTTGGGGAGTATTGCCTTTTTTTTTCTTTTTTGGTCATACCCGGCAATGCACAGGGGTTCCTCCTGGCTCTGCGCTCAGGAATTACTCCTGGCGGTGCTCAGAGGACCAGATGGGATGCTGGGAATCGAACCCAGGTTGGCCGCGTGCAAGGCCTACCCGCTCTGCTATTGCTCCAACCCCAGTATTGCCTTTTTGACAGTGTTAATTGTCCTAATCCATGAACTCAAGATATGTTTTCATCCCAGGAATCACTCCCGGTGATACTTGGGGGATCATATGGGATGTAGGGGATTGAACCCGAGTCAACCCCATGTAAGGCAAATGCCCTACCTGGTGTACTATATCACTCTGGCAGTACTATTTTATTTCTTTACCTTCTTACGTTAGTTTTAAATTGTAGTTTAGGCAACATGTTTGCAATAGTGTTCTATTTATGATTTTGATACACACTCATGGTCTCACCACCAATAATCCTCCATGTTCTTAAATTATCCTCAGTGTTCTTAAATTATCTCCAGTCCACCTTTTCATTCCTTTACTCCTTCCCTCACCCCAGGTTTTATTTTTAAAACATTATATAAACCATTAATTGCTTTCACATTTTAAGCTGTTTTAATTGTTAGTCCCTGTATTCCTCATGGGCAGAAATTATATTCAAAAGGATAGGGGCATATTGATTGCATGCAGGAGGTCCTGGTTGGATCCCTAGCACTGCATGGTTCCCTGAGCACCACTGGGAGCAGCCCAAATTTTAAAAATAAATTTAAAGATGGAAGGAAAGAATATACAGAAAGAAACTTGAAGACTTCAGATAATTACAGAATGTTACCATTTGCAACTAGAACATTCACCTATAGCTTCACAATATCTAACATAGCATCTTTAGTAAGAAATCCTATAAATAGGGGCTGAAGAGATAGTACCGCAGGTAAGGTGCTTGCCTTGCATGCGACCGACCCGGGTTCCATCTCTGGCATCCCATACAATCCTCCGAGCACCACCAGTAGTAATTGCTGAGTGCAGAGTCAGGAGTAACGCCTGAGCAATGCCAGGTGTGATGCAAAAAAAAATTCCTATGAATAGTAGCAGTTATCCAGTATGTTTGGTGTGAAAACCACTTATCTATCTCTCCTTCTTACTGCACTTATAACTTAACTCCCCTTCCCCTTTTATTTTGCAGTGCCAGGATCAATTCCAGAGCTTCACATATGCAAGGCAAGTGTTCTGTTGCTGTACTATGTCCCCATCCCTTATTCCATTTAGAAGAGGATGAAACTAGAAATTCTTTGAATAACCTAGCTAATAAGTACCACAGACAGGAATCAGACTGTAGATCACAAGGTTCTCTCCGTCATCCTGCTCTTTCTCAAATGAACCATTGAACTCTTGCAAGAAGTGACCCATCCCTAACAGGGCACATTTTATGTGGAAACAATTTGATAAACCACTGAGAGTTGTCTGGAGGCAAGTTCTATCACAAAATAATTACTTTTTTCCCTTAACTCTATCCCCCTTTTCCCCCTTCCTTTCCCACTGCTGATGAAATGTTGATGAGGAATTACATGCTCATTTGCATGGGATTGGTGGGGTTTTGAGGGGATTTGTATTCTTTAATTGGGAATTCAGGCATACAATGTGGATGCTTTGGATAGGAGATGTTCTGTTTTGTTGCAGTATTTGTGATCCCAAACAGCACTGAGATCCTGCTAGGCACATAATGGAGAGCACTAGGGACCAACTCATAGTCTTAGCAATTGTTAGGCAGGCGTTTTCTACTTTTAGAGACCCACGATGCCATCCCTGAACCCTCCTATCCCTCCTTTATTGAATTAGCTTTGATAGTAATTAGTAATGCCTTCCTCATTCTCTCTGTGCTCTCTTTGATTATAGG